CCCCACCCCCCACCCCCCAATGAAGTCCGAAGTCAACTAAAGAGCTAATGATAACTATCATAAAGCCTGCCATTTGACATAGATAAATTCATTTTCTGTACGAACACACTTCATTTATGACCACATCGCTAGTTACCGCTTTCCTTTAGGGTAGCTCTAAACCAAAATGGATATCGAAAAGCATCTCAAAATCTAATCCTGATAACAAGCTATTGACTTGTTATTATGCTCAAACCGTGAAGCTATGAGGTTTAGCAATCCACCACAAGTCGATGCGTCATTAACTGAGTCACCTCTGTCACTAAGGTTGCTCGTGTTATAAATCGTAACCCTAGCGATTTTAAATGTACTATAAATTCTTTCGATTCTGCCATCAGATCACATTGCTAGAAAAGCATTCCTCTACAAGCTTGACAATGACAAGTGTAAACCACCCCCCGAACATGCATTGCGATGAAATAGAAGGATGATTCGATCAAGTAAATCAATTTTACCACATTATTCTGAATTTTGCAAAACTACTACAAGCACCAATATATGCTTAACAGTGCCCGCAAGGCAAACACGTCTATCGCAAGCTTAGTTATAATAGATTGAAGGTTATTTATGACGTCAAACTTGTAGAGCCTATAAAATAAATAAGTCCTCGTGATCCTTCTTTCCGCTCAACTGTCTAAAAACTCGCCCCCCCCCTGCCAAGTTACCTAAAAGTTCAAAGCTTTGGAACACTTTTGCCCCTACATGGGAATTAAACAAGTCTGATGTAACAATAATGCAAAATTATCCCCTGTAGAGTTAGCGACTGCGATGAAAATAACGCGAACCCATTGTCAACCAGAAATTACCCAAACACGATTGGCAAAATGATTAACACCGTCGCAAAAAAACGCATTCCGCTACATACTGAAAACGCTTGGGTATACATAAAACACACGAGAGAAATGACACCACAAGGGAGTGTGTGCGAGTTATTTTAAAGTCCAGGAGCAGGAGGCGGCGGGGGTGGGGGTGGAGGAGGAGGGGGGCAGTAGCCGAAATTTGCAGCTTGAGACCAATAATCAGTACCCTCCCCAGCAGTACCACCTAAAACACGAAACAAAAAGAATCACTGAGACAGGAGCAAATTTGGAATGAATGATGCCAGAGCAAATAACAAACTTTGAGGAGCTGCAGCTAGAGGCCACGGTGCAGTTGGAGCATACCAAGCAGCACCAGGGGGTGGTGGGTATGGAACAGCGGACGGCGGTGGATAAACGCCTGCGGCAACCGGTGGTGGCATAGCAGCATATGGCGGATATCCCCAGGCTCCAGCAGCAGGAGGAACTGGCGCTGGAATAGGTGGGACCGCCGATGGCGCGGCATTGGCACTTTTCTCCTCTTCCTCTTCGGGCGCCACAGTAACACCAGGCGGCGGGGGCTGCTTTGGAGGCCCGCTTCTTACACTAGACCTCGAAGTACCTGAAGCGGAAGGCATAACTTCTCTTAAGATAAAGCATTTAATCTTTCA